TTTTTTTTTTTTTGGTAATTTTTGATTTCATTTATTGATTTATGATAGAGATTTTATGATAATTCAAGATGATAACACGATAATACTCAGATATAGAAGGTGTCCAATAATTCTATCACTATGTGACACATCATACTTCATCTTTTAAATCTGTAATTCTATCACTCTGTGTCATATAATACTTCATCTTTTAGATCTGTAATTCTATCACTGTGTGACACATAATATTTCATCTTTTAAATCTGATATCTCTGGTATTCATCAGTGAGAAAAAATGATTTTGTCAACGATAGATTCTTTTTTGTTTCGGTTAATCATCTGTCTCACTCACCTGTTATCAACGATTGCACTTAAATTGGATCCCTTATCATCTGTCATAATTTCCTTCTTCGTTTTTCTTTTTTTTAAATTTCATAACGAAAGAATGATTAAAAAACATAGAGGTTAAAGTTCGAATAGTTTTCTTTCTTATTTCATATTTTTAATTTTTATATTAATTAATAAAGGAATGGATATGTTTACAGCTATATTTCTTCCTTTTTATTATCACTTCAAATTCTCATAACTTTAGAATGAATGCATTACACATGTCATTATAGTAGTAAATTGATAATATCTGTTAATGATTAGTAATTGGTTAATATTGATTTCGCAATTAACAATTTCTGTCAATAACTAAAATCATTCGATTACACTGCTTAATGTTAATTACCATTTATTTAATTATCACTTAATTGCTAATTACTGCTTCATCACTGATACCGTCCATTTATTATTAGCATCCGGTAATTGCTTTTAACCCTGGTTATCTATTTTTCTTATTATTATTTGGTTTACTAATTATCAATCCCTACCGAATTGCCTGTCTGCCTAATAACTGATCATCAATGTCTACTGATTACTGGTTATAGTATTATCAATTTTCCGGAAGACATGAAGTCAACAATGTGTTCCTCAATTCATTCAATTGCCAAACTATTTAATATAATCATTTATATAATTTGCACAAGCAGTGCTAAGTAAGAGACTATATTACGATAGAATTACCTGCTTATTCAGTTATTTTTAAAGTTTGACATTTCAAAAAATGCTATATGCTTAGTAAAAGCTTACAAAGGAATAATTGTTGTGAAAGTTATTCTATTTTTTGTATATTTATCTAATCAGTTAATTAATTAAATGCACAAAATAAATATTGGTAGCATTTATAAATAATATTATTGAAAGTGAAGATATCAAAAAGTTTGATACCATTTATTATGCATTCAAAGATTGTTAATGCTTAATGTTATAAGTTTAACTTTTTTGGATGACTGCATGTTAAAGTTTTAATTAAAATTTTAAATAATGAATATTTGTTTTTTAATAATTTCACATTATATCCCTTTTTCACACATTCTAAAAATTTAATAAAAATGAAGAGAAAAAATGCAAAGAAAAGAGGGTAGCATACTTTAAAATACAAATCTCTTCCTTTCTATCTTATCATCCTTTGACATTAGCAATAAATAAGCCTTCGGAAAGTAAAATTTTCTTTCTGACATCATCTGGAAAAGTTTCATCAGTCAATCGTAAAGTCTTGCTGTTAAGAAAGATTATTTTTTTTAAATTATACTATTCCTCAAATGCGATGTATCCTCACACACCCGACACACACACACACACACGCACACACACACACACCCATACGTTGACATGCAAAACTAATAGCCTGATTATGAGTTTGACGTCAAGAATTAAAAAAAAATGCATCATCAGTTGAAAAGTCTGTTGGATAGATGTTTAGAAGCTATGAAATTTAACAAATTTGATTTACATGTAATTAGCATCTTTCCTTCATTTCTTTTTTTTTTTTCAAACAAGCAAATAGAAAAGATGAAAAATATATTCAATGACGTTGGAAGAAATATAAAAGTACAAAAAAAATGAATAGAAAGAGTGAAAAAATTGACGGTTGTTCTTCATTCCTTTGTAACAACAATTTCCATTCATCAAATCGGATCTGATCGGATCGGATCGGATCGGATTGAGTTGTTTAAATCAATCAGGATCAATAAATAAGATATAAGAAGGAGAAAGAATCTGATTCTGATTTCTTTCATCTATTTAATACCAATATCTCTACGAATTTCTTCAGCGTTAATCTGATATTTCAGGATTCTGTTTCCGCTTATATTTTATGCTATCATACTACTATGGTGACATTACTTGTATACCATTGGAATAAAATGTGAAATTGCTGTTCCAATTAGGTTGTAATCAAAATTTATTAGCTAATCTTATCATTAGCAATTCTTAATACAAAGATTGCTTAAATAATATTATTAATAGATCTTATGATGATTAAAATATTACAGTTTTTCAAACGTATCCAAGGGTTTTTGTAACATTGTCAGTGATTCATTTACATTTCAAACTTGAATTTATTGGGCGAACAATACGAATAACTAAAAACGCGAATTCAAAAAATTTTTGAAAAATTTTAATAGACTATTTTTCTTTTCATTCGTGTGACCTGTAATATGCAAATTATTATATTTTTCTTTTCATTCGTGTGACCTGTAATATGCAAATTATTATATTTTCTTTTCAATTTCGTGTGACCTGTAATATGCAAATTA